CTATACACCAAATATAGTTGACCTATTGCTTATAGTTTCTTAGAAACAAACTTAACATTGACCAATAAACCATAGAAATGAGGTCAAGGTCATATGATACCTGCCAGACAGACATATACACCTTACAATCGTTCCATACACCAAATATAGTTGACCTATTGCTTATAAGTTAAGAAAAACAGACCAAAACATAAAAACTTAACACTGAGCAATGAACCGAGAAAATGAGGTCAAGGTCAAATAAAACCTGCCAGACTGACATGTACATCGTAAAATATTTCCATACACCAAATATAGTTGCTCTATTGCATTTAGAATAAGAAAAAAATACCAAAACACAAAAATTTAACTTTTAACCACTGAACCATGAAAATGAGGTCAAGATCAGATGACACATGCCAGTTGGACATGTACACCTTACAATCATTCCATACACCAAATATAGTAGACCTATTGCTTATAGTATCTGAGATATGGACATGACCACGAAAACTTAACCTTGTTCAGATCCATGAAATGAGGTCGAGTTCAGATGAAAACTGTCTGACAGGCACAAGGACCTTGCACGGTACGCACATACTAAATATAGTTATCCTATTACTCATAATAAGAGAGAAATTAACATTACAAAAAATCTTAACTTTTTTCCAAGTAGCCACTGAACCATAAAAATGAGGTCAAGGACAATGGACATATGACAGACGGAAACTTCATAACATAAGGCATCTATATACAAAGTATGAAGCATCAAGGTCTTCCACCTTCTAAAATATAAAGCTTTTAAGAAGTTAGCTAACACCGCCGCCGCCGCTGCCGGATCACTATCCCTATGTCAAGCTTTCTGTCAGGCTCGACAAAAACTTAACTTTAACCCCTGAACCATGAAAATGAGGTCATGATCAAATGACACCTGTCAGTTGGACATACACACCTTGCAATCATTCCATACACCAAATATAGTAGACCTATTGCTTACAGTATCTAAAGATATGGACTTGACCATGAAAACTTAACCTTATTCACTGATCCATGAAATGAGGTCTAGGTCAAGTGAAAACTGTATGACAGGGATGAGGACCTTGCAAGGTATGCACATACCAAGTATAGTTATCCTATTACTCATAATAAGAGAGAAATTAAGATTACAAAAAATCTTAACTTTTTTTCAAGTAGTCACTGAACCATGAAAATGAGGTCAAGGACAATGGACATATGACAGATGGAAACTTCATAACATAAGGCATGTATATACAAAGTATGAAGCATCCAGGTCTTCTACCTTCTGAAATATCAAGCTTTTCAGTTTTTAGTTAAGACTGTCGTCGCCACCTCCGGATCACTATCCCATGTCTCGCTTTCTGTGACAGAAGTCGCAGGCTCGACAAAAAGAATACAACACCATCACAAAAAAGACAAAAAAAATTATTTGGAAAGAGCTTGATCTGCACCATGCACAAATACAGGCGACAATAAAATAAAAATGTTCCATTGTCCCCATCTGATACATAGTTTTATCAGTCCAAGGGCAATAACTCCAAATTTTTCTTTTTTTAGCTCACCTGGCCCAAAAGGCCAAGTGAGCTTTTCTCATCACTTTGCGTCCGTCGTCCGTCGTCGTCGTCGTCCGGCGTCGTCTGTTAACTTTTACAAAAATCTTCTCCTCTGAAACTACTGGGTCAAATTTAACAAAACTTGGTCACAATCATCATTGGGGTATCTAGTTTAAAAAATGTGTCCGGTGATCCGGTCAACCAACCAAGATGGCCGCCATGGCTAAAAATAGAACATAGGGGTAAAATGTAGATTTTGGCTTATATCTCTGAAACCAATGCATTTAGAGCAAATCTGAAATGTGGTAAAATTGTTTATCAGGTCAAGATCTATCTGCCCTGAAATTTTCAGATGAATCTGGCAACCCGTTGTTGGGTTGCTGCCCCTGAATTGGTAATTTTAAGGAAATTTTGCCGTTTTTGGTTATTATCTTGAATATTATTATAGATAGAGATAAACTGTAAACAGCAATAATGTTCAGCAGAGTAAGATCTACAATTAAGTCAACTTGACCAAAATGGTCAGTTGACCCCTTAAGGAGTTATTGCCCTTTATAGTCAATTTTTAACCATTTTTCGTAAATTTTTGTAATCTTTTACAAAAATCTTCTCCTCTGAACCTACTAAGACAAATTTAACCAAACTTTTACACAATCATCATTAGGGTATATAGTTTAAAAAATGTGTCCGATGACCCCGCCCGCGAACCAAGATGGCCGACATGGCTAAAAATAGAACATAAGGGTAAAATGTAGATTTTGGCTTATATCTCTGAAACCAAAGCATTTAGAGTAAATCTGACAAGGGTAAAACTGATTATCAGGTCAACATCTATCTGCCCTGAAATTTTCAGAACAATCAGGCAACACGTTGTTTGGTTGCTGCCCCTGAATTGGTAATTTTAAGAAAATTTTGCAGCTTTTGGTTATTATCTTGAATATTATTATAGATAGAGATAAACTGTAAACAGCAATAATGTACAGCAAAGTAAGATCTACAAATAAGTCAACATGACCAAAATTGTCAATTGACCCCTTAAGGAGTTATTGCCCTTTATAGTCAATTTTTTACAATTTTTTCATAAATTTTGTAAATTTTTGTAAATTTTTACAAAATATTTTCCACTGTAACTACTGGGCCAAGTTCATTATAGATAGAGATAATTGTAAGCAGCAACAATGTTCAGTAAAGTAAGATCTACAAACACATCACCATCCCAAAACACAATTTTGTCATGAATCCATCTTTGTCCTTTGTTTAATATGCACATATACCAAGGTGAGCGACACAGGCTCTTTAGAGCCTCTAGTTTTTCTTTTTAACTTCAACAAGAATTATAAGTGTGAGACTCCTTACAATGCAATTTTCCACAAAATTGATATTTCCAAACCTTCAATATTATTATCATAAAAAATCTGATAAGAATTATAGGTGCTAAAGTGCTTACAAAGTAATTTTCAAAATAAATTACATTTCTAAGGGACACAATTCCTGTCAAAATAGTTGATCTGCTCTTATTTTTAAACTTGTCCAAGACGTTATTGATGTAAATGGAAGATCATCTCGAGAGGATTTACAATGCAATTTTCCATAGAAGTTACACTTCCAAGGGATATAATTCCTCTAAAGATAATTGATCAATGCTGATTTTCAAACTCGTTGAAAAGTCATTGCTAATATAATCCTTTGATTTAATTTTATAAAAATCTTTCAACTAGTGTACGGTTGAGAGTGCTTACAATGTAACTTTTCATATATCGTTAATTTATATATCCATGGGGATGCATAACTCCTGTAAAAATCATTGATCAGTGCTGATTTTGAAATTCTTCCAAGACATTACTAATATAAACCTTTAAAAAGAGTTTCATAAACATCCTCCAAGAAATATACACTTGAGAGCATTTACAAAGAAATTTTTCATAAAATTTATATTTTCTGGGGCATACATAACTCCTTTAAAAATAGTTGATTAGCACTAGTTTTAAAACTCATCTAGAACATTGCTAATGTCAATCTTTAATAGAAATTTAAAAAAAATCTGTACATGTGAATTTTTTTTTAAGGCCAGCCAGAAGTGAAAAAAGACATCATCTGGTATTTATATCCCCTGCCCCAGTGGAAGACAAAAAAAGAAGACGTAAAATACCAATCTAGGACTACTCAAAGTTACAGAGCTAGTCCATTGTCTAACTTTTGCTGTTTAGTTTCCTCCAATCTGCATGTATTATAGTTTTCAAAATGATAAGCAAAAACTCTAGAATCAGTCAAAATCTTCATTTAAGGGCAATAACTCTTATAAAGAGTCATCCAGCGGTTTCAGTACTAGTCTTAATTGCATTTTTGTAGTAATGATAATGGTACCAGTTTAACTGCACCAGATGCCCATTTCAACAATCATTGTCTCTTCAGAGATGCTCCAGGACAAAAATATTAGAAATCCAAAACTCAATTCAAACGCTGAAGAATTGATAAAAACAAAAGGGACTATTAGGGTAAGGCCAAATTCAGGAAAGGAATCAGAGCTATGCATGAGGGAGATATGTTCTTTAATTTAAAACAATTTCAAAAATGTTTAATAGCAAATTTCAATAAAACAACAACCTTATTGTAGATCCTGCATTGCTCAGTTTTGCTATTACAGTTTCTACCTACTTGTCATAGTTTTCTAGAGAATAGAGAAAACACGAAAATTAGTAAAAAATCTGCAGTTAAAGGCAATAACTCCAACAAAGAGTCATCTGATCCCTTGCATATAGGGTTGTAAAGGGACATAACTCAAGAACAGTAAAAGTGACGCCATTTAAATTCAAAACTGATCTGACTGTTGTGGTAATAATCAGTGTGTACAAGTTTCATAACATTGGATTGAGGCAAACTTAAGTTAGAGAATGGAAACAAAAAATTCAGCATTCTTTTCATTTGTAAAGGAGCATAACTCTAGAATGGTAAAAGTGACGCCTCCAAAATTTGAACTCGATTTGTGTTTTGTGGTAATAAGCAATAAGCATAAGTTTCATAACATTTGGTTGAGGCAAACTAAAGTAAGAGAACGGAAACGTTTTGGGACATACAGAGGTACAGACAGCCAAGAGTAACACTTAATGCCCCCTCTGTTGATGGCGGGGGCATAAAAAAACACTTACTGTATGTAGATACCCTAAGGATCAATCAGTTTAAATTAAGTTAAAATTGGTCCAGTGGTTTCAGAATAGAGGTTTTATTTTTAAAAGTTGATGTTGACAATGGGCAACGATGACAGATGCTATGTGATAGCATCATAGCAATAGCTCACTTGGCCAACAGACAACCAAAAGCACAATGCCCACAAAAACAGATGGTGATAGAAAGCATTTCCTGCTTCATAAATGGGAATTAATCCAACAATTTTCATGGTGTTTTTTTATCTGTACAGAGGTCAAGATAAGAAATATGAAAAACTTTGAAGACTATTTGTAGTATCATTTTTCACATTTTATTAAAAAGGACGGAATGTTGATTTTAAGTATTTCATCTGAAGTATCATGCCTTGACATCAGTTCTTGGTAGAAATAATTTTAAATGATCAATTTCCTCCATTGTGAACTTTGGAGTTAATATAACATTGTCATAGTCAAAATCATTATCCAATGAAAATGGTTCTACTTCATCTGTTGTATCTGTACATATCTAAAAATAAAAACAAAAACTATTCATAGTTCAACTGCATGTCATCATTATGAAATACAAAATCATTGAATTATTCTTTCTGAGTTCTAAATGTAAAAAGTGCATTCGTTGATTTGAAATGGTTTTATTTATCAAAAGTTATACTCTGGATTCATTTTTATTTGTTGGATACAATTTTCATGGATTTCGTGGGTAAACATGAATCTAAATGTTCAATGAAGCATAAGTTTCTAATGGGCTTGTATGCCAACTTTGGCAAAATGAATAATCTAATATCCACAAATTAAAAGTCACATCATTCCATGAAAATTGTTATCCACAAAAATAAAAGAATCCACAATATGTTGAATTTCACTTTAAACCATAGTCTGACAATCAAGGAATAAGGAATTCCACTTTAAACCATAGTCTGACAATTAAGGAATAAGGAATTCCACTTTAAAAAATAGTCTTAAAATTAAGGAATAACGAATTCAACTTTAAATCATAGTCTGAAAATTTAGAAATAACAAATTCCACTTTAAATCATAGTCTGAAAATTAAGTAATAAGGAATTCCACTTTCAACCATAGTCTTAAAATTAAGGAAACACGAATTCCACTTTAAACCATAGTCTAAAAATTAAGAAATAAAGAATTTCACTTTAAACCATAGTCTGAAAATTAAAGAATAACGAATAACACTTTAAACTGCAGTCTGAAAATTAAGGAATAACGAATTCCACTTTAAACCATAGTCTGAAAATTAAGGAATAACGAATTCCACTTTAAAGCATAGTCTGAAAACCAAGGAATAACGAATCCAAATTAAGCCATAGTTTGAAAATTAAGAAAAAACAAATTCCACTTTAAACCATTGTCTGAAAATTAAGAAATAACGAATTCCACTTTAAACCATAGTCTGAAAATTAAGGAATAACGAGTTATACTTTAAACCGTAGTCTGAAAATTAAGGAATAACGAATTCCACTTTAAACCATAGTCTGAAAATTAAGGAATAACCAATTCCACTTTAAACCATAGTCTGAAGACCAAGGAATAACGAATCCAAGTTAAGCCATAGTTTGAAAATTAAGAAATAATGAATTCCACTTTAAACCATTGTCTAAAAATTTAGAAATAACAAATTCCACTTTAATCCATTGTCTGAAAATTAAGGAATAATGAATTCAACTTTAAATCATAGTCTGAAAATTAAGAAATAACAAATTCCACTTTAAATCATAGTCTGAAAAATTAGAAATAACCAATTCCACTTTAAACCATAGTCTGAAAATTAAGGAATAACGAATTCCACTTTAAACCATAGTCTGAAAATTAAGGAATAACGAATTCCACTTTAAACCAGTCTGAAAATCAAGGAATAACGAATCCAAATTAAGCCATAGTTTGGAAATTAAGAAAAAATGAATTCCACTTTAAACCATTGTCTGAAAATTAAGAAATAATGAATTCCACTTTAAACCATAGTCTGAAAATTAAGAAAATAACTAATAACACTTTAAACCTTAGTCTGAAAATTAAGGAATAACAAATCCAAATTAAGCCATAGTTTGAAAATTTAGAAATAATGAATTCCACCTTAAACCTTAGTCTGAAAATTAAGAAATAACGAATCCAAATTAAGCCATAGTTTGAAAATTTAGAAATAACTAATTCCACTTTAAACCATAGTCTGAAAATTAAGGAATAACGAATTCCACTTTAAACCATAGTTTGAAAATTAAGAAAAAACGAATTCCACTTTAAACCATTGTCTGAAAATTAAGAAATAAAGAATTCCACTTTAAACCATAGTCTGAAAATTAAGGAATAACTAATTACACTTTAAACCTTAGTCTGAAAATTAAGGAATAACAAATCCAAATTAAGTCATAGTTTGAAAATTTAGAAATAACAAAGTCCACTTTAAACCATAGTCTGAAAATTAAGGAATAATGAATTACACTTTAAACCGTAGTCTTGAAATTAAGGAATAACGAATTCCACTTTAAACCATAGTCTGAAAACCAAGGAATAACGAATCCAAACTAAGCCATAGTTTGAAACTTAAGAAATAATGAATTCCACTTTAAACCATTGTCTGAAAATTAAGAAATAACGGATTCCACTTTAAATGGTAGTCTGAAAATTAAGGAATAACGAATTTCACTTCAAACAATAGTCTGAAAATTAAGGAATAGCGAATTCCATTTTAAACCATATTCTGAAAACCAAGGAATAATGAATCCAAATTAAGCCATAGTTTGAAAATTAAGAAATAACGAATTCCACTTTAAACCATAGTCTGAAAATTAAGAAATAACAAATTCCACTTTAAACCATAGTCTGAAAATTAAGGAATAACGAATAACACTTTAAACCATAGTCTGAAAATTAAGGAATAACGAATTCCACTTTAAACCATAGTCTGAAAATTAAGGAAAAAGGAATTACACATTAAACCATAGTCTGAAAATTAAGGAATAAGGAATTCCACTTTAAACCATGATCTGAAAATTAAGGAATAACAGAACTATATTTGAAGAGTTATATATCCAATCAAAATTGGCAATACCAGTCATATTATATTATATAATTGTAGATAGCATGCCTTTACTCCCCACTTCTACTACCAAACATAAAAGTAATTCCCTTTTTGATAATCTGTCTTAAAGATTTTAGATATGTAACAGTTATGTTATTGTGCATAAGGTGTTGATATGCAAAACTGAAAAACAACTCACTTGTGGATAGCCACCCCCCAAAAAAAAAATGATTTCTGTAGTTCTGTTCGGCAAATTTAAGGCTCTCACAAAGTTTCATAGAAATTTGGCATTAAATTTCTTTGGCTTCAGGCATATCTGAAATATTATTACAGGGACCTGTTAGATTAGACAACAAATCTTTATCATATGTTTGCATATGTCATGTGTCAGAACATTTACCAACCTGTTCTCTCTGATCATGTGATCGACTTGTCACAACCAAAAAATCTAGATTTGTATGTGAAATTATGTTCCTTCCCGCGACCTCCGACTCTAGCTCTGCCTCTCCTGGGTACAATGACATCTGATTAGTCTTATCTCCTACTTCTACTATGTCTGCGCTTTCATCAGTATTTTCATTCTCTGTGCTGTCTGATAGCAGATGTTCATCTTCCTTCACTATTTCAGACATTAAATCAGGCTCCTCAGACCTATCATCATTTTTCATATTCTCGGATGTATGAATGGAATGAACTGTTTTTGTAACCATATTTGTCTTACAGTCTGAGTTGTATTTTCCCTGTCGATTGCCAGCAGCAACATCAGGAATGTCTGGTGTCAAGTTTTCTTTCTCTTCATTTGACTCTAAGAAACAAACAGAATGTTTTATCAAGAACTATTCTTACAATTTTAGTATTTGCTAGAGTGCACAATGCCAAAACTAAATTTAATTTTCTAACGAACTATAAAGTGAAATTCTGCAAAAAAAATTACAACAAAAGGGACTATTTTTCGTTCCCTATTGTTAATTTTCCTTTTTCATATAGTAATGTTCCTATGGCACCATCTTACAGTGTTTATATATCACAACTGGTTTGTTATGCCCCTGTCTGTAGTGATGTTTTGGAATTCAATGAATGTAATCTATGTTTTACTGGTAAATTATTAAGTCAAGCATTTAGTTACCACAAATTACTTCAAACCTTTACTAAATTCTTTCATACAAAGATTTGGTTTGGAAGTTTGGCTTTACCCTTAGAAAACTTATTACAAGTACTGGGCCCATAAAATTAGATACAATACCGGTAAACTTATCATTCTGTTAAATAAACTTATTCTAAAAGGTTACCAATTTAACACTGTAATTAGATCGTTGAATATTGTTTTTAACAGTATAAATATTGATTTTGTTATCAATAAATTAAAACCCAACTAAATATTATTGTTATACACATATCACGATCTGGGGAGCTTACATATGGCATATGTACATTCACTGTCCTACAATCTGTCCATACCTATATTTTGGCATTGCACAAGGTCATATTTTATCTCTGACGTCTTTACTGTAAGTCCATTGGATGTTGGATGTATACTGATTGATATTTAAGTTTAAGACACCTGATATTTTGATTAGTTGTTATGGCTTCGAACTAGCTTTCAGTTACTGTGAGTACTCTCAGATCTGTACTTTGTGTTTTTTGTGGGTTTTTTCAGTATTTTTTTTTGGTGATTTGTATTGATCTAAAGAGTTACGCCCTTTTCAACTGATTTTTATAGTTTGATCTTATGTTGTACTGTAACACCACTGTCCCAGGTTAGGGGTAGGGTTTACTCTTAGTTTTGAGCCAGCAAACATGTTTAACCCTGCCACATTCTGTCCAAGTCAGGAGATTGTAATTCAGTGGTTGTCGTTTGTTGCTGTATATCATATTTGTTTTTCGTTTATTGTTTTGTACATAAATCAGGCCATTAGTTTTCTCGTTTGAATTGTTTTACATTTGTCATTTCAGTGCCTTTTATAGCTTACTATACGGTATGGGTTTTGCTCATTCTTGAAGGTTGTATGGTGACCTATAGTTGTAAACTTTTATGTCATTTTATCTCTGGTAAAGTTGTCTCATAAGCAATCATACCACATCTTCTTATTATAATAAAGCCATGCTGCACTTTACCATTTTTTTTTTAATGCACTGTTGCTGAGGTCATGTTTATATTAATAACTGTATCTTTTACAGTTCAAATTAAAAAATACAGCATACATAACCTGTGCCTAACAACTCCAAACAATACAAGCTGCAAAATATAATATGCACTAGATTTTTGCTACTGATTTCTTTCTTTTTTTATTTCATTTCCAAGACTTCATTTTGCCTGATTATTTTGTATAGATTTGTAGAAGTCAGATCTCACATCCTGTATAAATAAACTTTACTGGACTTGTATTGATGTCTTATGAATTGGGTATAACTTCGATTTCTTAAGGAAACAATAACCATCAATTAATGAATTGTACTACACAATATTATTACCTTGTCCAAAGCTTGCTATATATCCTGGAGTTTCTTCATCTGACATATCATCTTCTACAAAGTTGTCCAACTAAAAATACAAAATACATGTACACACTTAGAAATGCTACTAAGTTTTTCTTTCCAATTTTTTATCGTTATGAAATGGACAAAGGGGAGATAATCTCTCAATTTCAACTGTAAAATATTCTCACACATTATTTCTGTTGTGACTGTTAGAAAAAGACTTGGCTATTCCAAAGCAATAAAAGATATCCATGATTTATTCACTTAATTAAAGAACTATGGTATAAATGGTAGATAGATGTTTTTTTGGCTGTGAAATTAACAGTTAAAAGTTTTAATACCTAATTGCTGGTACTATAATACTATATTCAAAGAACTACTTGAAGCCCACCATATAATAATACTCCTGTCCATATCCAAGAACCTTTGATTGTGTTTGTCTTTGTTTATATCTTAAGTGTTTTTGTCCTTTAGAGACTTTAATATGGCTGCATTTGTTTGCACATGTCCTAAGTCAGGAATCTGATGTTCAGTAGTTGTCGTTTGTTGATGTGGTTCATAAGTGTTTCTCGTTTCTTGTTTTTTATATAGATTAGACCATTGGTTTTCCCGTTTGAATGGTTTTACACTAGTAATTTTTGGGGCCCTTTATAGCTTGCTGTTCGGTGTGAGCCAAGGCTCCGTGTTGAAGACCGTACTTTGACCTATAACGGTTTACCTTTATAAATTTTGACTTGGATGGAGAGTTGTCTCATTGGCACTCATACCACATCTTCTTATATCTATTGTAAGATTTTGGTGGTCTCCATTAAATGTATTCTCAGCTTGTGTAGATTCTTGACCAATAAGGTTTGATGCATGGTAAAGAATTTTGTCAATTGTTATGAGTTTGAATGTCCCTTTGATATCTTTCGCCTCTCTCTTAATGATTGAACATCAACCTCTAGTTTCTGGTTTAATTGTATTGTTGGGTTGAAGTTAAGATCTCACTGACCCCATACCTCTTTTTATTCCTATTTTGTATTGCTGAAATCCTCCAATTTAATATGTAACTTTGTCATTAAAAAAACCTATCCTTATTGGGAATCAATTCCATGTATGAACAGGTGGTTTTTTAACCAGTTCCAGAGAAATATTATGCAATGTGTGTATTTTTTTTTCAATTATACCAGCATTATAGCTTTGTTTAGTAGCACTGGTTCATGTCTGATACATTGTACTCATACAAAGGGGAACAACTCAAATCATAATGATCTATAAATGTACATGATGTATATGTTATATACAAAGTACCTGCAAAGCCAAAAGTTTACTGCAGACTGGTATTAATTAACTTTTTTTTTGGCAGGACTTTTTGTTTGTTTTCACAAAAATTACTAAGCAATTCAATGGATATTAAATGCTATTTTTATTATCAAAAGTCTTCATTTTAAGACAAAAGCGGCTAAACGAAATCCTTGATTTCTATTTTTGTAGACATTGTATAGCTGGTCATTTTTTGTCAACATTTTCTGCCATATCTATTATAATTTTCAAATAATAAGTGAAAATGCCATACATAAATGAGTAATGTAAGAAGCCATGTGATATTTTGGGTTGAAATCGACAGAAGGTAGATCTTGATACACTAGCATTTTGGATTCTGTTAAGATATTCTCCATCTACGAACTAAAACAATATCACAAAACTGTAGAACTATGTATGAATTAAACAAATAATGTATCTAACCTTGACTCTAGATGAACAATCTGCAAAGGTCATTTCTGTTGCTATGGTTCCACTGTCCAAAATCTAAAAAGATGGTAATAAAATCTTATTGACAAAAACAGTTTCCAATATGGATCGCAGCATTAAACATAGAATTTTGTAAGCTAATTCATATAAATTAAGAGATGTGTGGTAAATGCTCATCGTAAAGCTATGCATGTGATGGAATACATGTAAACTGCCAGTAAAGTTATTTTCTATTATCTTTTGGGGGAGAAAATTTGAAATGACTTATCAAATTTAATATAGAAAATTTTCAGATACACATGTATATAATATTACAACATTTTGAATTACATATATGAATCAAAGCTGATATTGTATAAATAACATATGACAATAATTGTGTACTTGATGATATCCAGACAATTTAAAATATTCTATTAAATGGTTTTCTAGGTCTAATCTTACATCTTACATTTGTAAAAAGTTCTGATTTCACTGTGAGAATTATTTTAATATGTATATTTTGTTTCACTGTTAGTATTAATGTTAATGTGTATATTTTGTGTATTAATGTTAATGTGTATATTTTGTGTATTAATGTTAATGTGTATATTTTGTGTATTAATGTTAATGTGTATATTTTGTGTATTAATGTTAATGTGTATATTTTGTGTATTAATGTTAATGTGTATATTTTATGCTTCTTTCAATCATCTAAAATACTTAACCTCTTCTTCTAGTTCATCATCAAACATTAGTTGTGAATCCTTGTTTGGCTGTAATCTCTCTGCTTTGGTTTGTGATTGCTGTTTCATCACAACATCTGTTCTGAGGGGTTTTGTGGTGCTAGGCAGTTTCTTTGGCTGATTAACCGTTTCTGAGAAACAAGAAATCATCCAATGGTTATTGTACCACTGTAGACAAGTTTAATTGAACTCTACTGAGATATATAGCCAGAACTATTTTAACCTTTTTTTTTATTATTTTTTTTTAAGTCGGCATATATATGTACATAACAACAGAGAAAACATGAGCTCTGGTGAGATCTTTAACCGACTATCATATAAAAATCATGCAGCTTCAAGCAAATACTAATAAATAAAAATTAAAAAGCATGCAAATATAATGAAAGCAGATTAATTTTGATTTCCGAACCTCCAGGGTCAATGCTCATGTGGCAAACACCTCTGTGTGCATTGAATGGGGGAACCAGCAATCACTGAAATATCATAAAATACTAACAAACTAAAAAGCATAAATAAATAAATAAATTAAGCACTGGCATTTAATAGCAGCTATATATAATAATGCATAAAAAAGCAGAGCAAAAGCAGAGCAAAAGGCCAGAAAATAAAAAAAGAAATGTCAGCTATGAGGCAGCACTGGATGGAAACGGCACAAACTGAAATTGCATTTTTGACCCCCAAACCAGGAATTTATATAATTCCTAAATTGGTCAAAAGAGGTCATAGTTCTGGCCTCATTGGGAAGGGAATTCCATATTTGTGCTGCCTCATAAAACCACACCAATGCACACAAGTTCAATTGGACTCTACTGAGATATCCAGCCAGAAATATTTAACCTAAAACCATATACATGTATTAACCATTAACACATTTGGTAGTTACATTCTTGTGAGTTTAGATACTTTTCATACATCTCAGACCTTTGTATTGAACCAAATAGAGAAAGACAATCTACCAGTCCAAATGTGCCATTATTCTTAAATTTCATCGTTCAAAGTAAAAATCAGAATGATGATCACTTACCTTCCACTTATTTGTTATATATACAGTAGTCCTAAGGTCCAATAAAATCTGTTCATTCAAGTTGTAGCTTACAAGAGTGTTCTTTTACGAGTAACTTATACATGTTATACACAAACGAATAGTTGTACGCATATAAGTATTTCGACAAATATGTCAACAGACTCAACTATGTAAAGTTTAACTTTTTTTATTGGCATTATACAGCTGTATAAATGAAAACAACACTTGATTGATTAGTGTTTAACATAAAAAGAAGATGTGGTATGATTGCCAATGAGACAACTCTCCACAATAGACCAAATGACACAGAAATTAATCAAAGAGCTGAAAGCTCTAAGGAAAAATGACGTTATTGTCTCTCATATTGGGATATTTTTGATGAAAGTCTTGATTTTTACTTAATTAACCTACTGAATCTTAGGCGACGTTTCAATTTATGGTAGGTAGGGTGACTGATAGAATAGATATGAATTGTTTCCACAATCTATAGCGTTTTTATTTGTTTGTCAAGATATATATATATATGTGTGTGAAGTGAAGATAACTACTAGTTGTTCTGCTGTACAAAGAAATAGCTCAAGACTACCTGAACAATCTACAATATTTAAAGTAATATGTGAATTTGTTACCCTTATTTGTAGAATTATTTAACAAAATGATTATGAAGAGCCTGTAGTAAGCAAGCTCTTATACCACACATAGTCCTTATTCAAGAGATAAGTTATGGGTGATCTAGTGACATAATCACATTGTTATTTCTGTGACCTAAACATGATCAATTTCTGTAGATTTAGCCTGTATTAAGCAAGCTTACACTGAAATCTTAAAATGACAACATAAATTATTGCAAAATTATTTTTTTCAAATGATTTAATGTTTAGTACCGTAGCCATTTATTTCAAATAATTAACCAGTAATAAAATAAGGAAATGGGGTGTGATTGCCAATGAGATAACAGTCTGATGTACTATCTACCAGAGTCCAAATAATGTGGCTGTTGGCAGTTATAAGTCACTTTCAGACCTCAACAATGTACCAAACCTGTTCATAGTTTTCAGGTACCACAGGAAAAAGAGGAGTTGTGGCTGGGTGGCTTACAAGAAAATATAAGAAATATAATGATAATAATATAAATAAGAAAATAAGAGAGACAAAAAAGACAGGACTGAGGCACTGGACTATATATAAAGCGCTCCAATACTAATCCTTAGAGGAGCTGCTGATCTATACTTAGAAAAGAAAGATGTTGAGGACTTAGCCAGAGCGAGCAGAATTGTGAAACTTAGGAACAGCAGAGTATATGTGGGGACACCACATATATAGGCCCATCTGCCCTATATATGCTGCCACCTATTAATATTAATGCCTAGGGTGGTAATTAAACCCATGTGCATTTAATCAATTGTACTCTATGACTATGTACATGTACATATATGATATATATCAAATGCAAAAAATGCAGCTGTAAGGGAGCAACCATTTAACTTCAAAAGGGGGGGGTATGGGTTTTTTTCTTAGTCACTCATAAAATTATTTATTTAGTTTTTCGACACAATCAACTAGATTATTCTTTTTCAAAATTTGACACTATAAAGTATGGAGGGATTTTTTGTCATCTGCTTGACCAGAATATTTTTTTCCATCAAATTGGGGATCAGAATATTTTTTTATAAAAAAAACCATAACTCCCCCCCACATGGAAGTTAGATAGTTGCTCTCTAATGTAAATATGTAAATTTTACATCATTATAGCCTTATTTTTTATAAGGACCTAGCTAGACCTATTTCTTAGGCAAGGAAGTGACTTTTTTATTATTAAACTTTAAAATTTTAAATGCTTAGATAATAATTTGATTTCATTATCATCATTAAAGTGATTGTTGACTTTTCAAATATAAAAATATGCAAAAAGAAAGAAATATATATGATTCCTTGTGAAAATTAAAAGATAGAACATTGTATACTTTAATTGATTTGGAAATTTAATTTCAAGAATGACAACATGTATGATCTGTTACCATAAGTGTAAAATTTGTCCATTAGCTACTGTTTATTATGTTTATGGTTGAACTGTATCTTTGAACTTTGTCAATCAGTCATGATTTACTTCTTAAGCTGTGTAAGAACCTTCTTGTAATTGAAAATTGGTCTACCATGATCACGATTTATACAATTCTGAGTTCCTAACAAGTTCAAAATTTAGCACATTTGCAGTTTACAATGCCCAAAGATCAGGAGAAACAACGATTTTGATTGGCTGATCCCAGTTTGTCTCCCTTGGGAAAAGTATGAGGAAAGTTCAAAATCAGGAACAATCATTATTTTTGTGTAGAATTTAACAAAATCGTGTTTCAGGGGTTTTTACACGATCACAATCGTGCAATCGTGACATGGGGTCAAAATCGAGTATTTCACGCCTGAATCGTGAAAGTTGGCAGGTATGACAGGTTAAGAAATTAAAGAATGAAATTCTGTATAGTACATTAAGTATGTAAAATACGGAACCGAGTTCGGAAAGCGGGTTGGAAGTCTGGTAAATGGTAAAAGAAAATTGACTGCGTCATTTTCCAAAAACTATAGGTCACCTTCCGGCCTTCAACAATGAGCTAAGCCCATACCACATAGTCAGCTATAAAATGCCCCGAAATGACAAATGTAAAACAATTCAAACGAGAAAAATAACGGCCTAATTTATGTACAAAATAATGAACAAAAAACAAAAATGTAACACAGCAACAAACGACAACCACTGAATTACAGGTTCCTGACTTGGGACAGGCACATACAGAATGTGGCGGGTTTAAACTAGTTTGAAGGCGCCAACCCTTCCCCTAACCTGGGACAGTGGTGTAATAGTACAACATAAGAACAAACTATATAAATCAGTTGAAAAAGGCTTAACGCAGCAGATGGATACAAATAGAAATACTTCCAACAAAAACACCAAGTAAACGTGGACTGGTACTTGTACATTCCAACAACAAAAAGACACTTAGCACAGATCTGAGAGTACTCGCAGTTACTGACAGCTAGTTCAAAGCCAATAACAACTAATAAAAAAAATCAAGTATCTTAGACTAAATTATCAATCAGTACACATCCAACATCCAATGGATTTAGTGTAAAGATGTTATAAACAGTCAGAGAAAAACATGACCTTGTGCAATGCCAAATACAGGTATCAACAGATTGTAGAGCCATGAATGTGCATTAATAAGCCACTTTCAGCACTATTAAGCTACTTCGTTGCGGTCAGTTTTTATTGGTGGAGGAACCAAGAATGCCAAGAGAGAATCATCTACCTTGGTAGAAAAACTGACAATCCTAGTCATTAAGATTGGAGTCAAATACACCTGCCATGTGCGGGATTCGAACTCACAACCTCAATATTGACAGACTAGCTAGATAAAGTGATACAACTTAGTTGGACTACACAGACCACTCGTCCACCAAGGCTCTAAAAACAACAATTGATAAATTTCATGCGTCTGGAGCATTTATCTGGATTTACCTTCACCAGGAACGCTCAAAGCTGAATATTTGAAAGCCAAGGATGTATAAGAGCCAAAAACGTTGAAGAAAATATCAGCATGCAAACGTTAAATAATGAAAATATAATGCGATGGCATATACTATAGGAGTATAATAGGACTAAGGTCAACTTTGCCTGAGGAAGACGAAACTAAGTTCTTAATAATTTTGAAAAAACAGACAATTTAAGAAAGGTTTGTTATAAATCATGTCAGTATCTGATATTACTGACTCCATATCTGTAACTTACAAACCTTTAGTAATGTGCTGAAACCCATTTATAAATTCATCATACGACTGTGTATCTTGTCCCATCACCTTGTTTATTGCCGATGTCATTGTATCATTAAGACAATTTACTTTGTTTTCTTCGGTAGCAGTCAGTTCTCTGGTCATGTTGATTCTGAAAATAAGATTACCAGTATTTTTTCTTGGTTACTTGAATCTTCTCCGTGTATGGAGGGTAACTTTGTTGTAAATAAGGATTTTTATTAAAGAATATGCCAACTCAAGACAGCACTGGATGTTGTTATCAAATTTTGTTTGTTTAAATTCCTATTATAATGTACATGTGCCCATTTATAGAATATATAAAAAAGTTCTAATGACATTATTTTATTGAATGTTTACATATGACCCCGGACATAATATACTGCCAGATCTGACACAGTGGAATATACAGAATAGGTAATAGTCAAAGAATAGTATACACCTATTGACTGGTTATGAGGGTAATAGCAAGTTTGTTGTCCCTGAGATACCAACTATTGCTCGAGGCGTAGTCTTTTCAGAATGTTGTTTTGTTCGGTATAATAAAACACTTACTGACTGGTTATGAGTGTAATAGCAAGTTTGTTGTCCCTTTGAAACTAACTATTGCCCTCGGCTTCGCCTCGAGCAATAGTTGGTATCTCAGGGACAACAAACTTGCTATTACCCCCATAACCAGTCAATAGGTGTATATTATTTTTTTTTTAATTTTAAGGTGGGTAACTATTTGTTTTAATCTCGAATAATTGATATTATTGTCATTGTTTAAGCCCTTCCTTGCCCTTTACACTAAGGAATAAAATATTATTCTTCTCTTCTTCAATGAATAGATGGGATAAATTAATATAACCAATGCCTTGCAGGTTATCAATACCTGTGACTATTATACAGGTACTAACGTTAGTCAAGGATTTGTATAGTGAGACAAATCCTTGCGTTAGTATAATAGTCACAGTCAATACCTAAAACCTGGTCGTATTTGTTTACTAATATTTAAACTGGTTTCTGAAAACAAATAGGTCTTAGTACCAGTTCTGTTTGGTTCAGTTATATTCCTCCGTCATTATCGGAGCACCCCAACTTTGGATGAGTATGGTGGCCGGATGCGGTCATTTCACTTTTTAGCCAACCTGGCCCAAAGGGCCATGTGAGCTTTTGCCATCCATTGACAAATCAAATCAAATCATTTTATTTCCTAATTAAAGGGCCCCTAAGGGCATATCAATTACAAACAAGAAAAATAATAAAGAGACAAACATGTATACATCATTTTAGACAAAAACTGACATTCATTAAAAATTATTTTATGATTTATATAACATGTACATAGATAAACAATTTGCGAGAGAGCCAGCTGGGTGCAAGAACGATAATATATAATATATTATATAATGACACTAAGAACAAAAACCTGTATTTAGGTGTTTCAGTTTGGTCAATTTATTTTCCAATTTGTACTGAGTTTTCTAGTTTCAAAACTTATGTTCAAGTAATTGCATAAAGATTTTATAAAGCTTTTATCGTCATTTGACATAATCCAAATGAATAAATTTTCTATATTTAGTATTCTCAAATTTGGATACCTAATAAATAGACCATATAGAAAAACCTTTCTCAGTGATGCTGCATATATAAAGGACATTCCAATATAAAATGGAGCTCATCCTCAATCACATTCAAATTGCAATAATTACAAAGTCTTTCACATCTGGGAATATATTCCAATTTACATGAAGAGTTGATCATGACGGCCAGTTTCAATTCTTAATTTATGATTACTCAATCTCAATTTTGTGACAGTTTTCCAATCAGTATGTGTAAAGGATAAATAGTTCTCTCTAACAAAGGAGAATTTGAATTTAAAATATGTACTTAATTTGCCTTTATCATGTAAATAAGAAGACCTTATTTCCTTCCACGTCTCTAAGAAGCTGTTTTTAGACAGATTTTAAGTGATTTCTTAAATTTATGTTTACTCCGGTTTTTACAAATGGTCAGATCAATGTTTAATTTTTCACCATAAAAGAGTAGGTTTGTGAACCAAGAGTTTTGACCTTTGTTTATGCTATGCAAATGAATATATTCCTTGTATGCATTGTTAGCAAGTTTGATGGAGAATTTTCTAGTCTGTGCCAATACATGAAAATTTGTTTTAACATATCTATGTAAAGAGGATGTCTTCCAAGTTCTGTTACAACTCCTATGTTAGTACATAATTTAGAGACCCCAAGTATGTATTTGCAAAACTTGAAGTGGAGTTTTTCGGTCTCACAGTCTTTGAATATATCAAAAAGAGTTAATGATTTTCTCTTTGGAGTAAATTAATAATTCCCCAATTCTCACAACCGTATAGAATAATAGGTTTTATACAATGATCAAATAAATGTAGGGATATGTTTATGCTTGGGCTTGAGGATTTCAAGTCTCTGTACAACTTAAAACAGGCTTTCAAGCTTTTTTGAAATAGTTGTTTTTTAGCCTCATTAAAATTCCCAGTATTCTCAATAATAAGGCCCAAATATTTATATTGCTTTACACATTCTATGCCTTCTTTCCCAATATGAAAATTATCTTGTACCAATCTACCGTTATTATTAAAAATAATTATTTTTGTTTTATTGGAGTTTACTTCCAGACACCATTCATTACAATATTCATCAAAAATATCAAGTTTGTTTTGAAGCTCTACCTTAGTATCTGAAAAAAAACAACCAAATCATCTGCATAAAGGAGGCATGGTATCTTCTTGTTATTTAGACAAACTGAATCTGATTTTTCTTGAAAAATTGTAGGGAGTTCATTAATGAAAAACTTGAATAAATTTGTTTGCTTCTGAAAATTTACTTTCTAGAAGTGTGAAGCTGGATATTTTGTTTTCAAGTATTTTTACTTTTTTTCAGTTGGGTATGTTTATCTGTAGGAATAGATGCCAAAGTAGCAAAATATTTATACCAAGTTTCACCGTCAATATTTTGATTTTGATTTTTGGTGTTTTAACGCCACTTTTAAGCACCGCTTTTGGGCTATTTCGTGGCGGCCAGTTTTTATTGGTGGAGGAAGCCGGAGTGCCCGGAGAAAACCACCGACCTTCGATAGGAAAACTGACAATCCTAGTCAATTCAGATTGGAGTCGAGTGCACCCGCTCGAGCGGGGCCACTGGCTAGTGATTACAGTAGTAACTACTTAGACCACTCGGCCACCGAGGCCCCCACCGTCAATATTACTATCTGGTTTATCACAATTTTCATTACGAAGAAGGTTTACAAGCTTCCAATACTCCTTTGGGTTTTCTGTTTCTAAGCTTTCTAAACGGTTTAAGATTATATTTTTAAACTCTCTTTTTTATACTTTCTAAGTTTTGCATACTTTTTATTTGATTTAAAAAAGGACCCACGACTGATAGGGTCTTTAGGATATTTGTTCATTGATTCAGCTTTTCCATCAACAATTTTTTTAATGAAGTCAGTTCATGGTCAAACCATTTTTTGTTTGTTTTGACTCTTTTCCTTTTTTTTTAAGCGATATTTTACAAACTTTTTCAATAAGTGAATGGATTTTGTTGGTCGCTTGATTTATGCTATTTGAGTCAAAGTTGATATCTTCTGTTAAGAAATCATGACCAGTTTTACCCGTGACCCATTTTCGTGTTTAGGATATAATCTTGAAAACTTTAATAAATAAAGATAAATTTTGAAAAGCCAATATGATCAGCTGGACATGCAAGATCTACAAAAAAGTCAACATAGACAAAACTATCAGTGAATTCTTGTTAGACCCCCCCCCCCCCCTCCCCTTGTTAGGAGGTATTGCCATTGAAAGACAATTTTGACCTATTTTCGCATTTTTTGCAGAAACTACAATAGGTTGAGAGAAACTGTAAATAGGAGAAATGTTCAGCAATATAGGATCTACAAATAGGCCAACCTGCCTTACAGAAATAATAGCCCTTAAATGACAATTTTTAACTAATTTTCCTGTTTTTTCCCTATGATCTAGAACACTATTATAGATAGTTAGAAACTGACCAAAGCATAAAAAGATCAACAAAAATTTCAATATGACCAAAACCATGAATAACTCTTTATGGAAATGTAAACAGCAAACATTATCAGAAATACAAAATCGACAAAATGTTCAGTATATGCGGCCGAAACCATTGGCGGAGTCCTTATGGAAATTATTACCCATAAAGATTTTGACTTATTTTCCAGTTTTTGCCTCTATTTATATCCAGAAAACTTTAATAGATTGGTAGAAAATGCAAACAACAAAAATGATAACTTGAGCAATACAAGATCTACAAAAAAAAAAAAAATAATAACCGAATCATTTAATGACACCTTATACATGTAGGAGTAACTATACGATATGTCGTTTGCTCCTGGTTGAAGGCCGTATGGAGAACTGTAAATGTTCACATTTGCGTCCTTTGGTCTATAGACATTTCGTCGTGTGAATCTTATAGTGTTATATGTCCACTTTTGATAAAAATGGAGAGAACTATATATATTTGAGATCCAAGTGCAATGGTCTATCTGCATATACAACTATAATACAAGATTTCAACACTCTAAGAGTTTTTGTCAGACCTACACTGTTCTATCTCCACGCTCCCATTGGATTATAATGGCTTATTCATCTAGTTAGTTCAGAGAAATTTTTTTTTTAATATAGTGTTGCATCTTCACTATTTCTCATGTATTTTTTGCTGTTAAATAATTGTTACCAAAATTATTGAGAGGTTTAGCTGCTAGCTATAAAACCAGGTTTACTGCCATGATCCATCATTTTCTACATAAGGAAATGCCTGTATCCAGTCAGGAATATGACAGTTGTTTTCCATTCGTTTGTGTGTTTGAGCTTTTGATTTGGCCATTTGATAAGGGACTTTCCGTTTTGAATTTTCCTTTGAGTTCGGTATTTTTGTTATTTTACTTTTTATCTTAGAAGTACTATGACTAAATGGTTTGCATGGTTTGAACTCAATATATGAGCAATTCTTAAAAAAAACAACAGTAAAGAAATTGTGAATATTACAAAGTTAAAAAAATCCATGGACTTTCTCCAATGGAAATATAGGGATAAACTAAGTTTCTAAAACAATACATTGTTTGTAGTGAAATGTTCTATCTCCAAAAACGGGGATGCTTTATTTGTCTAAGTTGCTTGTCTATAAAAAAAAAACAATCGAACAAAGAGTTACTCTTCATGATGTACGTAAATTCGATTCCTATATAACTTTTTAGGTCTTAGTCAAATATTTATGATATTGAGCTTTTAAAACATTAATTAAAATGTTTACCATTATTACAAATGGAAAATACATCATTATAAGATTCATACGATTTGTCTCATTGGCAATTACACCACAGATCTCCTTGTTCTCTTATTTTAACTTTTTGATCCAACAACTCGAAGTAGGAAAAAAGTACCAAAGTTGCGCCCAATAAATGGCTTTGTAAATTGTATCTGTAGTGTATCCAATTTTAAAACCTACATGTTTACAGAGTTAGAGTTGTTATCAACACTATACTTCAGATACAGAAGGACATAATCACTTGATAGACCAGACAGAAGGTTTACGGCCACAAACAAAAAATTACCGACTAACAACCCGTAACAATCAAGACACATGTGTAAAACTATAAAAATATATATATAAACCCACCTGCGCTTAACTTGCTGAATAGAAGACAGCGACTCCCAGTATCAGCTGGAAACAAACCAATATTATTGACAACCACAGATATCCATCACCCAATTATTCATAGACACTTTCAGAGATGTGAATAAAGGGAGACGTGAGGTATAAGTCAAAAAGACAGCAACCAAACGTAAAATATAACCAAAAGACATGTAGAGGGCAACATACAGTCTTCAACAATAGACAATTGTCGATTCAGAGACAGTGGATGCCAACAAGTCATTGACTTTCTTACACAAAGCGAACAGCACATTGGAACCTTTGCTACAAATAGCCCATCGCTATAGTCGGCAAATGTTCAGGACTACATAATTCATCATGATGTTGTCTCTAAAGATATTAGTATCACCACTGAAAGGTGGAACTAGTGGGAAGACTAATACACCTATGGTCTATAGAAGATATCAAAGGAATGTCGACCACTGGTTAATGAAAAGTTGATGGACGGAATGCATTTAGTGAAGTAAATATATATCCCTACTGATAAAATATTCCAGGGCCATCATTTCCTACGAGTATTTCGTTGATATTGGGCAACTGGCTTCAAGGAAGCCACTGTACGTATGGTTCTTAATGGCACGGTTGAATTCATTTCGAAAGTTTTACGGAATCCGTCGTCTTCGGTTTGTTATGAAAAATGTGTGTGACAGATGTTGACGGATATGTTCTGTTTCTCGAAGCCACATTCTCGTCCATCATTTTCTATGGCGAGTATAGTCCAATGATATTCGAAACGAGCTAAATTAATATGTTAGGAAAATCAGAGATATTGCTTCGATTTGAGAGAATCTGTCAAATTTCCACACTGGCATTGATTGAAGATGAAACGCATTTTCTGTTCACTTGTTCATAGTACCGGTATTGTAATATAAGAAAACATTTCCTTGAACATCTTTTTAAAAAATTGCCAAATTTAAGACCCCTCAGCAAAAAAATCTCTAAATACTAGTATGGATAATGTCCAATGAAGATGGCTTTTTATTTTAACATTTGTAAATACTTTCTCTTACAATTATTTTTAACAAATATGCTTTTAATAAGCAACAAATATACTTTTGGTGGATAGTTGTCTCATTGGCAATCATATACCACATCCCCTTTTGTACTTTAATAATCAATATATATGCTTTTGATAAGCATATAAACAGATATGTGTATTTCTATATGTTTATTTTTTTCCATCTCCCTGCGAGCCCATATTAGATTTGAATACATCATGTTACTAACGATTATATAATATGTAATAATATGTTATCATTTTAAATGTAAAGACATATTAGAGTTATCCCTCTTTATACGATCTCCATTATGTTTACGATGAGTATAACATTTTCAAAGAGTGAAAGGGAGATTGAAAGTAAGTATATTATATTGTATGTATGTCTTTGATAATGATTTAAATGCCTGTTTTGGGCCCTGTAATTAGGTTAGTAAAAATGAATTTGAATTCATCACCTGATTTTTACTTTGTCATCGGCCACAGTACCAATGCCACAGGAATGCACCAGGAACTACATGCTTACCATACTGGAGCACTCAAGATTATTCTCGACGTTTTCGTTTAGATTCGTGTTGCATAATTTTATATGTAGGCTGTTGATAAAGCTTCATTGAAATATCGCAGTTTTTTCCGCTTGTAAAATGGCATCTTTTGAATTATTTATTCAAAACAATGTATTAATGGGAACCAATTATGGGATAAAAATGAAAACAACACGTTTTAAATTTTATGCGTCCGAAGCGCTTTGCTTGATTAACCATTACCAGGAACGCTCAAAGTCGAATATTTGAAAGCCAAGGATGTATAATAAGAACCGAAAGAGTTGAAGAGCTATATGACCTAAAAGGACATAAAAAATAGCCCAATCAATGTAAGGTCAACTCTGCCTGTCGTGAGAGAGTTGAAACCTTAGTTTCTTTATAATTAAACAAATTATAAACGGACGATTTTAGAAATGCTTGTTATAAATCATGTCAGTACACAAGAACTGACTACTGATCTGATGACACCCTCGGGGACTGATAGTCCACCAGCAGAGGTATCGACCCAGTGCTGTAAACAATGAAAACAACACGTTATAAATTGTATGCTTCCGAAGCGCTTTTCTGGATTTACCTTCATCAGGAACCCTCAAAGCCGAATATTTGAAAGCCAAGGATGAGTTTCATTATTACTGAATTTTTTGTATGTCCTAACACATTCGTACTTGGTATGAAATACATAAAACACAATATTGGGTTTTAAAAACGAAAAAATTATAATTTTCATATACTAGTAAGTAATTCCAGAGTAAAATGCTTTTATCGTCTTCAAGCAAGGAAATTAATCATATGATTGGTGATAAATTAAGTTTGTGTTCATCGAATCACAGGAAATTTGTTCAGAGTGTAAAATAAAAGTAGATGTGGAGAATACGTTAATACGACAGCAAACCAACGACAAAGTAGCCAAAAGAATCTAAAGGGCAACATAAAGTCTTCACAAATAAGCAAGTGTCTATACAAAAAATCAAGCCCTAAGTAGTGTTTATTTCAAAATGTTAATTTAATTATGCAGTTTGAACCTCGCCGCTGATATGCTACCTTATTCTCTATACATATGTTTCCTCTGTAGTACTATAGACAGCTGTTATGCTATGTATACTTTTCCTCTGTATTGGACCGCTGCAATGCTACATTTTACTTATTTTAAACTTTTCCTCAGCCTTTTTCGTTAATCTTTTTACTGTTCTAAATTCATATTCCATCATAACCTCACATTCCTTTGTTGTGACTGTAAAATTGTCGTTCCAAAATGTTTCTCTTATTTCAAAAACTTTCGATTTGGAAAATTTCTCAGATTTTCTTTCATTACAGAAATTTATAACGGATTTACGAATAGATTTAAAATTTTGAACTTCATGATTAATATTATGACCACTATGGTGAAGTTGTTTAATTAATTTATCTTTAAAATACTGATATAGTCTGAAGTCGGCGTGGTTATATTTGCGGATGTGGAACTTGTCTTCCTCGGACACTTTGATTGGTTCTCGTTTCTTCCTTGTGTTAACATTCAATGGTATATATAATACATCTTTTAAATTCAAACATAGAATTCTTTTTAGGAGAACCAAGGATTCGTCAAAATATTCTGTCACAATAACAAGAGCAAAATCTTGGTCCAGTGATCTCAGGTATTCGTTAATAGCTGTCTCATTGTCAAAGTCTTTCGCTTTAAGTCCAAAGTCAAATGACATCCTATTGTGCATGTAAATCTTTAATGAAGCTGGACATAAATTGGTATTTTTTGAAAACTTTGAAATTAATTCACTTTTGTTTTTATTTTTAAGTTTGAACTGTAATTCTCTTAATAATCCAAAGAAATGTGCTGCCGAGACAAACTGTGAAACAGGTTCTCGAATTATTCCTATGTTTACCACATCTGCTCCAAGTAGTTCTCTAAAACTATTTCCACTGTAAATAGCGTGATTACATAATATATTGTATGTTTCATTTGGCGGAATAGGGAAAATCCTTTCTTTCTGTAAAACTGTATTAAATCCGAGATATTTCCATTTTGGATTGCTAAGTTTTGGTAAAGCAATATTTAATCCACGCGAATCTCCATATCGTAAAAATATATTACTCACAGTGGTTCCGCCAGTTTTATGAACTTTAAGGAAAGCCACATTAACAACTTGCTGGTGACATACGTGTACATAAGATCTGTGATAATAATTGAAATCGTTTGTGGTAGACAAAATATAAAGAAACTCGCGAAAACGTGAATAAAACACCGGAGTAAACATTATGCACAGAAAAGACAGAATTCCCAGAATTCCCCTGAAAAAGAAAGAAATCATTTATTAGGCTATTGATCATGTGTTGATTTTGAATATTTTAAAGTTTAGATTAAAACCCTGCAAGATTGCCTAGTTTTTAACATTACTGAGAAGGTTCTACTCCTTTCTCTTGGTCTTAAGGTACTTACCGGGTGTTTAATCGTATAGTTTTCATATCTATCAACTCGGAGATCGATATTTATAGTTAACTAGGAAGAATATAATAGATTTTATGTATATAACAACTGTTTTGTATTTTTTCTTTTTTATTTGTAACATCTGTCAAGAAATTAAAAAAAAAAAAGTTAAATCTCAGTACTGCAGTCACTATAGTTGTTAATGTCTGTGTCATTTTGTCTCTTGTGGAGAGTCAGTGTCTCATTGGTAATCATACATCATCTTCTTATTTTTATACATATGTGTACTCTATATATTAACCGGTACTGTTTGGTATTATAAGTTTGTGTACAGTTCTTAATCTGTTACTCCTTCTGATGTATCGCTCCTGAACTTGTGCGCAGCAGTTCTCAGAAACCACTTGTCAGATTAACTAAGGGTTCTAAAATATGTTAGACTTACATGTTTAGTGGTGCATTCAGGGTTTTGCTAGTGCGTTGGGGTCTGTGATGGGGAACTTTGAAGCAAAAAAAAAAAACAAGGGGATTTATACTTTAGAACTCTATGGAAGTTTTATTTTTATTTTTATGTTTAAATGATTAAATGTAATGCCGATTCACCGTGTCATTAATAATCCTCTGATGAGAACTATTTCTTCCGTATTCTCCAGTTGATCCAATTTAAGGGCAGTAAGTGATAAGGTGTTGATACAAGTATATAGTCCCATGACCATTACTGAAGACCCAATTCCATCTTCCATAGAGTTCTAGAATTACAAACATTATAATACCTTTTATATCATTCAATTCATGACAAGCAAGGAAATACGTGTTATAGGGGTGTTTTGTGTGTTTTGTATATTTGACCATCATATGACAGTTGATGGGAATGACCCCTGTGAACTAACTTTATGTCATTTGATTTTATTTGTCATATATATCATTTTCCATTCTTAAATTCTCCATATCTTATTTCGATTTTTGTATTGAAAAATAATATTCAAGGTCAAAGATCAATGTCATCAATGACCATTTACCTTTTGACCTTTAAGTTGGCCTTGAATATTGAGTTTCAATTGCCATTTGCAAATTTTCTATTTTTTTTTTATAAATGGTTGACATCCCCACCCTTAAACCATATATTTTCTTGTATGTTATATCAAGATTGAGTCCTCAGTGTCATCCCCAATCCCTACAATTTAATGATGTTCAAATATCATTTAAATGATTGAGATCCATACCCCTAAAACATATATTTTCTTATTTGCCAAATCAAGATGAATTGAAATCAGAATAGTGTATAACATGAGTCCCCCAGTGGTCATCCCACCCCCTGCCATTTGATAATGTTCTAATGTTCTGAAAATGAATCCGACCCCCTAAACCACGTATTTCCTTGCTTGTCATGAAATGAATGATATAATGGGTGAGTCCTCATGGCTATATATTTATATTATGTATATCTTTGTTACAATAATTTAGTGTTCTATTTGTATTTATATTTTAGTTGTTTGCAATGTCCCAAATCACTACATGGTATCCAGAAGGGTGACTAGCTTGTCACATCCAGCAGTAATTGCTGTCAGGAAATACACAACCTCCTAATAGGATCATCCATTTTTTTGGGATAATTGAGTAGTTTAGGCAAGAATAATCGATCCGACCACAGAATGAGTCGTTCGATAGTTTATGGTTGTGACTGTAGTTATTTCTGATCGCAAATGATCGTGCAATCTTGGATCGCAAATGGTCTTGTCATCTTGGTTCGCAAAAGATCTTGTATCGCAATTGATCGTGTCATCTTGGATCGCAAATTATCGGGCCATCTTGGATCGCAAATTATCGGGTCATCTTGGATCTCAAATGATCGAGCCATCTTGAATCGCAAAATGATCGTATCATCATGGATCGCAAATGATCGTGTCATCTTGGATCGCAAATAATCGGGCCATTTTGGATCACAAATGATTGGGCCATCTTTAATCGCAAATGATCGGTTCATCTTGGATCGTAAATGATCGTGTCATCTTGGATCTCAAATGATCGTGTAAGATCGTGTCATGTTAGAATGCAAATGATCGGGCCATCTTGGATAGCAAATGATTGCGTCATCTTGGATCGCAAATGATCGTACCATCTTGAATCGCGAATGATTCGGCCATCTTGGATCGCAAATTTATCGTGTCATCTTGGATCGCAAATGATCGTACCATCTTGGATCGCAAATGATCGTGTCATCTTGGATCTCAAATGATCGTGTCAGATCGTGTCACCTTGGACCGCAAATGGTCGGGCCATCTTGGATCGCAAATGATTGGGTCATCTTGGATGGCAAATGATCGTACCATCTTGGATCGCAAATGATCGTGTCATATTGGATCGCAAATGATCGTGTCATGTTGATTCGCAAATGATCGTGCCATCTTGGGTCGCAAATGATCGTTGCCTCTTGGATCGCAATTGATCGGTCTAGAATTTTACTGAAATGGGGTTTAATCTTCAAACATCTGATGCTTCCTGAAATGAATTATGACGTATTTGAGGATCTGGATAGGGTGTCTTTATTGCTGTATTCTTTGATTTTAAGGCAATTTTCTGTTTTCTTAATTCTATTCTTAATTAATATTTATTCTTTATATATTAGCACCCCATCATCTCTATTCTTTAGTTTTGTCCGTTTTCTCTATTCTTTATCGTATTTGTGTTTTTATACTGTTGTTTGTCTGTTGGTCTTTTCCTTTTTTTTTTTGCCATGGCGTTGTCAGTTCATTTTCGATTTATGAGTTTGAATGTCCCTTTGGTATCTTTCGCTAATCTTTTTAACAGTTATCGCCCCAGAAACTGCATAGATTCCCCTTAGAATCAGTCACTTCACGTTTAACTTGACAGAACTAGACTAAAGGCCGCTTTTCTGCATAGAATAGAAATAAGATAGAATAGAAATTTTATTTTAAGTCGGGTTTAAACATAAGATCTTTAGAGCCTTTTGACGACATTAATAACAATAAAAACACATACAATATTAAGACATATAAAACATACACATTAGACATACAAAATAAGACGGCTATATTGCATACGCAAAATGTTCATAAATAAAAGCATGGCATAAACTAGCAAAGCATTAAACTAGATTATAAAAACATGCAAAGCAGACAAATAAAAACAAGCTGCAAGGAAAACTCAACATAAAAATCAAATTATCAAGATCTGCCGGAGCCACATCTGCATGAGTTGCCTTTCCAGTTGTTGATCATATACTTTTAAAGTGGTTCAGATTCGTCTGCGCACGGATTGCGTCAGGCAGCTCATTCCAGAGTGTAGCTCCAGCATACCTTAATGAATGAAGACCAAGTTGTGTTGTTCTCACTTCAACAGTTTGTTGCTTTCTAAAAGAGTAAGGTACATTTTTAAAATCAATAATATCATGGAGATACACCGGTGACTCTTTGTGTAATATTTTAAAAGTTTCTATGGTCATCATTCGTAGACGTCTTATTTTTAAAGAAGGTAAACCAGACATAGTCACTACTAACATCTTCATAGATGAACCTCAAGGCACGTTCTTGTATTTTTTTCCATTTTTTTTAATGTTACCCCAGTGGCGGATTCATAACTTTTCATAAGGGGGGGGGGGGGGGGGGGGGGGGGGGGCGCTGACTGACCTAAGGGGGGAGGGGCGCCCGCTCCAGTCATGCTTCAGTGATTCCCTATATAATCAACCAAATTTTTCCCACGAAAGGGGGGCCCGGGCCCCCCAGGCCCCCCCCTGGATCCGCCTATGTACCCTCCCCACAAAAATGCAAAACTACAGGACAATAGTTACAATTAGACATAACATATGAGTGATAAATAGTTAACCTTTCCAATTTCAATAGATGTTTACCAATTCTTTTTAGTACATTTAACTGCCTTAATGCTTTTTTACAAATTTCAGAAATATGTGTTTTAAACTTAAGTTGATAATCTATTGTCACTCCCAGGAGCTTTACCTCGGTGTCACATACAATTTCATTCCCATCCAAATTGAATTTAATATCCCCACTTTTTGATTTTATTCCCAATGGCAATAGCCTGAATTTATCAAGATTAGCTTTCATTTTGTTATTAGCAAACCAATCAATTAAAACTGCACTTTCCAAAGATTTAACTAATCCGTTTATATCTGGTCCTGAGTGTGACAATGTATTGCCATCTGCATAGTTATACAATTAATTTTCTTTCACAAAATTGAAAATGTCGTTAAGAAAAATGTTGAAAAGCAAAGGACCCAATACTAAGCCCTGCGGTACACCTTTGTAAATATTTTGCCAGGTGCTAAAGTATGCACCAACTTTTATACATAGTTTTCTGTTTGACAGATAGTTATCAATAAGATTTAGTGCATCATTTGACACGAACCCCCTATAACCGCTACCAAATTTAAACAAATATTTGGATAAACACATGGAAAAATAAAACAAAAGCAGCATGCATCTCTTCTTTTAAAAGACTGACATGCGCTTACTGCAGTTTGTGACTTCCTAGAATATCCAATATTTGTGTTTCCGTGACTTCATTCGTTGGAACCAAAGATGAGCATTTAGGACATTTGGACCCTCTTAGAAGTGTCGAATAAATCTGATGTAATACCCTCAGGTAAAAATAAATCTGACAGAATCTTGAAGTAAAATGAATGTTAACCATGCGTTGATCAAATAATTGCCAGCACAGATAATAAATAAGTGTTGGCAATACAATCAAGTTTGAGTTATCGCTATTTGAAATATAGCGGAACGGTATTACTTATTATATACCTTGTAAGATGTACCACTCCCCTTTTCCAATTTCCAAACGTCTATAACAACAACACCCCTTTCCCCATAAAATGCT